AGGGGGAGGTGATATGATCCTTAACTAGCCTCTCAATGTAAGGGGGAGGTGATATGATCCTTAACTAGCCTCTCAAGGTAAGGGGGAGGTGATATGATCCTTAACTAGGTAAGGTGGAGGTGATATGATCCTTAACTAGCCTCTCAAGGTAAGGGGGAGGTGATATGATCCTTAACTAGCCTCTCAAGGTAAGGTGGAGGTGATATGATCCTTAACTAGGTAAGGTGGAGGTGATATGATCCTTAACTAGCCTCTCAAGGTAAGGTGGAGGTGATATGATCCTTAACTAGCCTCTCAAGGTAAGGTGGAGGTGATATGATCCTTAACTAGGTAAGGTGGAGGTGATATGATCCTTAACTAGCCTCTCAAGGTAAGGTGGAGGTGATATGATCCTTAACTAGGTAAGGTGGAGGTGATATGATCCTTAACTAGCCTCTCAAGGTAAGGTGGAGGTGATATGATCCTTAACTAGCCTCTCAAGGTAAGGTGGAGGTGATATGATCCTTAACTAGGTAAGGTGGAGGTGATATGATCCTTAACTAGCCTCTCAAGGTAAGGTGGAGGTGATATGATCCTTAACTAGCCTCTCAAGGTAAGGTGGAGGTGATATGATCCTTAACTAGCCTCTCAAGGTAAGGTGGAGGTGATATGATCCTTAACTAGGTAAGGTGGAGGTGATATGATCCTTAACTAGCCTCTCAAGGTAAGGGGGTTTCCAATTTGCACAAAGTCCAGTGTAGTTCCTTGAGGGCCGTCGTGGTATCGGCTTGAAGGGGAATATACACGGCTGTGATTATAACCGAAGATAATTCTCTTGGGAGGTAATACGGACAGCATTTGATTGTGAGGTATTCTAGGTCGGGTGAACAAAAGGACTTGAGTTCCTGTACGGTATCACAATCACACCATGAGTTGTTAATCATGAAACATAAACCACTGCCTTTCTTCTTCTCTGCGAGTTCTTTATTCCTGTCTGCATGATTTACTGAGAACCCAGCTGGCTGTATGGACAGGGACAGTATATCGGGAGAGAGCCATGATTAAGTTAAACAGAGTATGTTACAATCCCTGATGTCTCTCTGGAAGGAGATCCTCGCCTTGAGCTTGTCTATTTTATTGTCCAGAGACTGAACATTAGCGAGTAATATACTTGGACGTGGTGGATGGTGTGCACGCCTCCTGAGTCGGACTAGAAGTCCACTCCAAATACCTCTTCTCCACCGGCGGCATTTTGGAGCAGCCTCTGGGATGAGTTCAATTGCCCTGGGGGGTACAAACAAAATATCAAATTCGGGAAAGTTGTATTTCTGGTCGTAATGCTGGTGAGCTACTGCTGCTCTGATATCCAAAAGTTATTTCTGGCTGTACGTAATAACACAGACACCGTTCTGGGCTAATAATGTAAGAAATAATACCCAAAAAAACAAAATACTGTAAGGTTGCTGAGGATCTAGAAGCAGAGCTCACATGTCTGTCGGCGCCATCTTACAATGAAAGCAGCAGTAGGTAGGTGTCTGATCAGATAATGCCCCAGAGCAGAGTAGGGTGCCCAGGTATATCACAGTAGACAGGTGTCTGATCAGATAATGCCCCAGAGCAGAGGAGGGTGCCCAGGTATATCACAGTAGGTAGGTGTCTGATCAGATAATGCCCCAGAGCAGAGGAGGGTGCCCAGGTATATCACAGTAGACAGGTGTCTGATCAGATAATGCCCCAGAGCAGAGGAGGGTGCCCAGGTATATCCAAGTAGGCCTAAAAAGTTTCAGCTGACCTATTTTGTATGTTTCCTTAAAAACTCTGTATGCGATAATACACTATTGTCCAATGTAACCTGAACCACATGAAACAAAGGTAGAATTAGACAAAAATCCACTAAAAGCTTTTCAGCTACAAACACTGATCAGAGAAAAAAGACATGCTTGCCGCCATCTTGAAAAGTGGTTGTGGTTCTTCTGCTTCTATGCAAAATGGGGCATATAGGTACGTATCAAAAGTTTAAGTATAAATCACTACACCTTCCTTATATTAAGCAAACCAGACGGCACGATTTTCTTGTTTAAAAAATGTACGGCTAGCCAGAGGCACAGTGAAGATTTCCATGTGATGGAATATCTATTGTAACATCCATGTGATGGAGGAGTATCTAATGTAACGTATATGTGATGGCGGAGTATCTATTGTAACATCCATGTGATGGCGGGGTATCTAATGTAACATCCATGTGATGGCGGAGTATCTATTGTAACATACACAGTCCCGTTCTGTGAGCTTGTGTGGTCTACCACTTCATGGCTGAGTAGTTGTTGCTCCTAGATGTTTCCACTTCACAATAACAGCACTTACAGCTGACCGGGGCAGCTCTAGCAGGGAAGTAATTTGATGAACTGACTTGTTGGAAAGGTGGCATCCTATGACGGTGCTGCGTTGAAAGTCACTGAGCTCTTCAGTAAGGCCATTCTACCTATGTTTGTCTATGGAGATCGCATGGCGGTGTGCTCAAATTTATACACCTGTCAGTAACAGGTGTGGCTGAAATAGCCGAATCTACTAACTTGAAGGGGTGTCCACATACACATATACTCTTTGTATACTGTATAGTGCACATGTTATGGAGGAGTATTTAATGTAACAAACATACAGTGGGGAAAAAAGTATTTAGTCAGCCACCAATTGTGCGATTTCTCCCACTTAAAAAGATGAGAGAGGCCTGTAATTTTCATCATAGGTACACGTCAACTATGACAGACAAATTGAGAAAAAAAATCCAGAAAATCACATTGTAGGATTTTTAATGAATTTATTTGCAAATTATGGTGGAAAATTAGTATTTGGTCACCTACAAACAAGCAAGATTTCTGGCTCTCACAGACCTGTAACTTCTTCTTTAAGAGGCTCCTCTGTCCTCCACTCGTTACCTGTATTAATGGCACCTGTTTGAACTTGTTATCAGTATAAAAGACACCTGTCCACAACCTCAAACAGTCACACTCCAAACTCCACTATGGCCAAGACCAAAGAGCTGTCAAAGGACACCAGAAACAAAATTGTAGACCTGCACCAGGCTGGGAAGACTGAATCTGCAATAGGTAAGCAGCTTGGTTTGAAGAAATCAACTGTGGGAGCAATTATTAGGAAATGGAAGACATATAAGACCACTGATAATCTCCCTCGATCTGGGGCTCCACGCAAGATCTCACCTCGTGGGGTCAAAATGATCACAAGAACGGTGAGCAAAAATCCCAGAACCACACGGGGGGACCTAGTGAATGACCTGCAGAGAGCTGGGACCAAAGTAACAAAGCCTACCATCAGTAACACACTACGCCGCCAGGGACTCAAATCCTGCAGTGCCAGACGTGTCCCCCTGCTTAAGCCAGTACATGTCCAGGCCCGTCTGAAGTTTGCTAGAGTGCATTTGGATGATCCAGAAGAGGATTGGGAGAATGTCATATGGTCAGATGAAACCAAAATATAACCTTTTGGCAAAAACTCAACTCGTCGTGTTTGGAGGACAAAGAATGCTGAGTTGCATCCAAAGAACACCATACCTACTGTGAAGCATGGGGGTGGAAACATCATGCTTTGGGGCTGTTTTTCTGCAAAGGGACCAGGACGACTGATCCGTGTAAAGGAAAGAATGAATGGGGCCATGTATCGTGAGATTTTGAGTGAAAACCTCCTTCCATCAGCAAGGGCATTGAAGATGAAACGTGGCTGGGTCTTCCAGGATGACAATGATCCCAAACACACCGCCCGGGCAACGAAGGAGTGGCTTTGTAAGAAGCATTTCAAGGTCCTGGAGTGGCCTAGCCAGTCTCCAGATCTCAACCCCATAGAAAATCTTTGGAGGGAATTGAAAGTCCGTGTTGCCCAGCGACAGCCCCAAAACATCACTGCTCTAGAGGAGATCTGCATGGAGGAATGGGCCAAAATACCAGCAACAGTGTGTGAAAACCTTGTGAAGACTTACAGAAAATGTTTGACCTGTGTCATTACCAACAAAGGGTATATAACAAAGTATAGAGAAACTGTTGTTATTGACCAAATACTTATTTTCCACCATAATTTGCAAATAAATGCATAAAAAATCCTACAATGTGATTTTCTGGATTTCTTTTTCTCATTTTGTCTGTCATAGTTGACGTGTACCTATGATGAAAATTACAGGCCTCTCTCATCTTTTTAAGTGGGAGAACTTGCACAATTGGTGGCTGACTAAATCCTTTTTTCCCCACTGTACATGTAATGGAGAAGTATCTAATGTAACAAAGATATGATGGAGCTGTTTCTAATGTAACAGACATGTGATGGAGCTGTATCTAATGTAACATACATGTGATGGAGCTGTATCTAATGTAACATACATGTGATGGTAGAGTATCTAATGTAACAAACGTGATGGAGTTTCTAATATAACACTGTACATGTGATGGAGGAGTATCTAATGTAACATACATGTAATGGAGGAGTATCTAATGTAACATGCATGTGATTGAGGAGTATCTAATGTAACATGCATGTTATTGAGGAGTATCTAATGTAACATGCATGTGATGGAGGAGTATCTAATGTAACACTGTACATGTGATGGAGGAGTATCTAATGTAACACTGTACATGTGATTGAGGAGTATCTAATGTAACATGCATGTGATGGAGGAGTATCTAATGTAACATGCATGTGATGGAGGAGTATCTAATGTAACATGCATGTGATTGAGGAGTATCTAATGTAACACTGTACATGTGATGGAGCTGTATCTAATGTAACATACATGTGATGGTAGAGTATCTAATGTAACAAACATGTGATGGAGGAGTGTCTAATGTAACACTGTACATGATGGAGGAGTATATCTTGTAACATACATGTGATGGAGTATCAGATGGAACATACATGTGAGGGAGTATCTAATGTGACATACATGTGATGAGGAGTGTCTAATGTAACATACTGTACATGTGATTAATGGTGTTTCTGTGTGATCCTAGGTAACAGACATGATGCAGAAAGCGCTCTTCGACTTTTTAAAACACAGATTTGAAGGGAGGTGAGTTCTACAGGTTGTGTCAACTGTGGATTTGACAATAAATACAATATACATATTGTTTATCCAAACGTTTTAACTCCAAATAAAATATCACGCCGGCTATGTATTTTCTCTCAGAATTACTATAACTCGTGTGACTGCAGACATCGCTCTAGCAAAGAGGTCCATACTCAACAACCCCAACAAGAAAGCCCTGATGGACCGCTCAAACACACGCTCTAACCTAGGTAAGGTATGGGCTAAATATCTAACCCCAGCCCTAACCCTCTATCCCCAACCCACTATCCCCAACCCTAACCTAGGTAATGGTAGTGGGGCCTAACTACTCTACCCAGCCCCTAACCCTCTTCCCAGCCCAACCCTCTCATCACCAACCCTAACCCCCTTACCCTCTATCCCCCAACCCTACCCTCTATCCCCAGCCCTAACCCTCTATCCCCCAACCCCTAACCCATGTCCTTCCCCACCCTACCCATCTATCCCCACCCTACCCTCCTATCCCCCCCCTACACCCCCTAAACCCTCGTATCCCCAGCCCTAACCCTCTATCCCCAACCCTACCTCTATCCCAGCCCTAACCCCCTAATCCTCTATCCCCAGCCCGACCCCCTAACCCTCTATCTCCCGCCCTACCCCCTAATACCTCTAGCCCCAGCCCTAACCCCCTAAAACCCTAACCCCCTAATCCTCTATCCCCAGCCTAACCCCCTAAACCCTAACCCCCTAACCCTCCTATCCCCAACCCTAACCCTCTATTCCCTCCCCCAACCCTAACCACCCTCTATCCCACAACCCTAACCCCCGAACCCCTATCCCCAACCCTAACCCCGCTCTATCCCCAGCCCTACGCCTCTATCCCCAGCCCTAACCCTCTAACCCTAACCCCCTACCCCTCTATCCCCACCCTAACCCTCTATCCCCAACCCTAACCCTCTATCCCCAACCCTAACCCCCTAACCCTCTATCCCCAAACCCCTAACCCTCTATCCCCAACCCTAACCCTCTAACCCTAACCCCTAACCCTCTATCCCCAACCCTAACCCTCTATCCCCAACCCTAACCCCTAATCCCCCACCCTAAACCTCTATCACCCCAACCCTAACCCCCTACGCCGCTATCCCTAACCCTACCCCCCTACCCCTCTAAATCCCAAAACCCTAACCCCCAGACCCTCTATCCCCAACCTCCCCTACCCTCTAATCCCCACCCCTAAACCCTCTAATCCCACCCTAAACCCCCTAGCCCTCTATCCCCAACCCGAACCCCTATCCCCAACCTAACCCCTCAACCCTCTATCCCCACCACTCACCCGCTAAAATCCCCAACCAGCCCTACCCCCTAAAACCCTCTATCCCAACCCTAACCCTCTATTCCGCTCCCAACCCTAACCCCCTAACAACCCCTATCCCCCACAACCCTAAACCCCCTAACCCTCTCTCCCCAAACCCTAACCCCCCCTAACCTCTTCCCCCACCCTTTACCCTCTACTCCCCGCAACCCTAACCCCCTAACCCTCTACCCCAACCCTAACCCCCTTAACCCTCTATCCCTCAACCCTAAAACCCTCTATCCCCACCCTTACCCTCTAATCCCCAACCCTAACCCCCTAACCCTCTATCCCCAACCCTTAATATACCTCTATCCCAACGCCTAACCCCCTAACCTCTATCTCCCCAACCCTAACCTCTATCCCCACCCTAACCCCCTTACCTACCCTCTATCCCCCACCCTAAACGCCCCTCTATCCCCAACCCTAACGACTCTATCCCCAACCCTAACCCCCTAACCCCATTCCCCAACCCTGACCGCCCCTAACCCTCTATCCCCACCTCCCCTAACCCTCTATCCCCAACCCTAACACCCCTAACCCTCTATCCCCAGAACCCTAACCCCCTAACCCTCTATCCCCCAACGCCTAAACCCCTAACCCCATCATCTATTCTCGCCCAACCCTACCCCTCTATCCCCCAACCCTCAACAATCTCTTCGTGCCCAACCTAACCCCCTAGCCCCCTCTAATCCCCCACGCTAACGCCTCTCGAGTTCATCCCCAACCCTACCCCGTAACCCCTCTCCCCAAACCTAACCCTCTATCCCCAACCCTAACCCCCCCCCTAACCCTCTATATCCCCAACCCTGCAAAAGACCCCCACCCTAACCCTTCATCCCCAAACCCTAAACCACCCCTCACCTCTATCTCTCCCCCCAGCCCTTACCCTCTATCCACAACCCCTAACCCCCTAACCCTCTATCCCCAACCCTAAACCCCTACACCCCTCTATCCCCACCCACACTCTATCCCCCTAACCCTCTATCCCCACCACTTCCCTCTATCCCCAACCTAACCCCCTACCCTCATATCCCCAACCCGTAACCCTCTATCCCCCCCAACCTAACCCCCTAACCCTCTATCCCCAACCCTAACCCTCTATCCCCAACCCTAACCCCCTTACCCTCTATCCCCAACCTAACCCTCTATCCCCAACCCTAACCCTCTATCCCCAACCCTAACCCCCTACCCTCTATCCCCAAACCCTGACCCCCCTAACCCCTATCCCCAACTCCTACCCCCCCTACACCCTCTATATCCCCACCCTAACCCCTAACCCTCTATCCCAAAAAACCCTAACCCCCTAACCCTCTATCCCCAACCCTAACCCTCTATTATCCCCAACCTAACCCTCTATCCCCAAACCGTCCCTCTATCCCCACCCCTAACCCCCTAACCCTCTTCCCCTCCTAACCCTCTATCCCCCAGGCCCTACCTGCTATCCCCCCACCCTAACCCTCTATCCCCAACCCTAACCCTCTATCCCCAACCCTAACCCTCTATCCCCAACCCTAACCCCCTACACCTGTAATCCCCAACCCTAACCCTCTATCCCCAACCCAACCCCCCTAAACCCTCTATCCCCCAGCCCTAACCCCCTACCCCTAACCCTCGTATCCCCAACGCCTAGAACCCTCTATCCCGCAACCCTAACCCCTAAAAGCCTCTATCCCCAGCCCTAAAAACCTCTATCCCCAACACAAGCTACCCCACTCCTAACCCTCATAATCCCCAACCCTAACCCCCTGCGCCTCTATCCCCAACTCTCTGAATCCCCCAACCCTACCAACCCTAACCCCCCAACCCTCTATCCCCAGCCCTAACCCTCTATCCCCAACCCTAACCCTCTATCCCCAACCCTTACCCCTCTATCCCCAACCCTAACCCCCTAACCCTCTATATCCCCAACCCTAACCCCCTACCCTCTAGCCCACCCATAACCCTTCTTCCCCACCTCTCTATCCCCAACCCTACCCCTCTATCCCCAACCGTAACCCCCTAAACCCTCTATCCCAACCCTCTAATCCCCCAACCCTAACCCCTCTAATCCCCCCCCACCCTAAACCCCTCTAATCCCCAACCCTTATACCCTCTACCCCACCCTAACCCCTAACCCTCTATCCCCACCCTAACCCCCAACCCTCTATCCCCAACCCTAACCCTCTATCCCCAACCCTAACCCCCTAACCCTCTATCCCCAACCCTAACCCTCTATCCCCAGCCCTAACCCTCTATCCCCAGCCCTACCCCCTAACCTCTACCCAACATCCCGTAAAACCCCCTACCCTCTAAATCCCCCCACCCTAACCCCTATCACTAACCCTAACCCCCTAACCCTCTATCCCCAACCCTAACCCTATCCCCAACCCTAACCCTCTATCCCCAGCCCTAACCCTCTATCCCCAACCCTAACCCTCTATCCCCAACCCTAACCCCTATATCCCCCGCCCTTACCCCTCAATCCCCCAGCCCTAACCCCCTAACCCTCTATCCCCACCCTAACCCTCTATCCCCAGCCCTAACCCTCTATCCCCAACCCCTAACCCTCTATATCCCCCGTCCCCTACCCCCCTACCCCCCTCCTAATCCCCCAGCCCTAAACCCCTCTATCCCCAACCCTCTATCCCCCACCCTAACCCTCTTTCCCCCAACCCTACACCCTCTATCTCTCCCCACCATAAACCCTCTATCCCCAACCCTCCTCTCCCCACCCTAACCCCTCTATCTCATCCCCAAACCCTAACCCCTCTATCCCCGAACCCTACCCTCTATCCCCAGCCCTAACCCCCTAACCCTCTATCCCCAACCCTAACTCTCTATCCCCAACCCTATAACCCCAACCTCATGGTAACTAACCTAGGTAAGGTATGGGCTAACTATCTAACCCCAGCCCTAACCCCCTAACCCTCTATCCCCAGCCCTAACCCTCTATCCCAGCCCTAACCCTCTATCCGCAGGCCCTAACCTCTGATCCCAGCCCCTAACCCTCTAATCCCCCTCCCTAACCCCCTCTATCCCCAACCTCTATCCCCACCCTACCCCTCTATCCCCACCCTAACCCCTAACCTCTATCCCCAACCCCTAACCCTCTATCCACCCAACACTAACCCTCGATCCCGCAACCCTTACCCTCTATCCCCCCACCCTAAACCCTCTATCCCTCCTCCCAACCCAAACCCCCTAGACGCTCTAAAATCCCCCACCCTAACCCTCTATCCCCTAGGCCCTAACACCTACTAATCCGCCCAACCCTAACCCCCTACCCTCTATCTCCCCACCCTACCACCCTTCTCTCCCCCCAACCTTACCTCTATTCCCCAACCCTAACCCACATCCCAACCCTAACCCTCTATCCCCAACCCTAACCCTCTAATCCCCAACCCTAACCCCTACCTCGATATTCCCCAAACCTAACCCTCTATCCCCCAAATCATCCCCCCCCCCAAAATCCCCAACCCTTACCCCCTCTATCCTCCCCAACCCTAACCCTCTTATCCCAACCCTAACGCTCTATCCCCAACCCTAAGCCCCCTAAACCCATCTATCCCCCCCCTAACCCTCTATCCCCAGCCCCAGCCCTAACCCTAACCTCAACTCTAATCCCCAACCCTAACACCCTCCTATCCCCAACCCTAACTCTCTATCCCCCAACCCCTACCCCCTAACACTCTTATCCCCCAACCCTTAAACCCTCTATCCCCAGCCACTGAACACTCTATCCCCAACCCATAACCCTCTATCCCAACCCTACCCTCTCCCCCAACCCGAACCCTCTATCCCCCCCCCACCCCGAACCCACCCTAACCCTCTATCCCCAACCTAACCCTCTATCCATCCCCATCCTAACCCTCTATCCCCCCACCCTAACCCTCTAATCCCCAAACCACCTAACCCCCTAAACCCTCACCCTATCCCCATCCCTAACCCCCAACACGAGGAAGAACCTCTATACCCCAACCCTAACCTCTATGCCCCAACCGCCTCACGCCTAGATCCTCCAACCTAATCTCCCCTAAACCATCCTCCCCAACCCTAACCCGGCTGCTATCCCCATCCCTACCACTCATCCCCACGCCTAAACCCTCTATCATCTCGCCATCCCTAACCTCTATCCCCCCAACCCTAACCCTCTATCCCCACCCTACCCCCTAACCTCTATCCCCCAGCCCTAACCTCTACCCCCCCCTAACCCTCTATCCCCAACCCTACCCACTCCTCTATCCCCGCCCTACCCCCTCTATCCCCAACCCTAACCACCCTAACCTCTACTCCCCACGCCCTAACCCGCTATCCCCCAGCCCTAACCCTCTATCCCCAACCCTACGCTCTATCCCCAAACCCTAACCCTCTATCCCCAACCTAACCCCCTACCACCTATCCCAACCCTAACCCTCTATCCCCAGTCCCTAACCCCAAAAAAATTCCCCGCAACCCTAACCCTCTATCATTCCCCAACCCTAATCCTAATCCTACTATCCCCAACCCTAACACCACACCCCCAACACCTCTCTCCCTGATCCCCAACCCTACCCTCTTCCCCCACCCTAACCCTCTATCCCCAGGCCCTAACCCTCTATCCCCAAACCCTCTACCCCACCCTACCCTCTAACTCCCTCAACCCTAACCCCCTAAACCCTCTATGCCCCCCACCTAACCCTCTTCCCCAACCCTTACCCTCTATCCCCAACCCTAACCTCCTATCCCCACACCCTAACCCCCCGCTCTATCCCCAACCGCTAACCCTCTATCCCCACCCTAACCCTCTATTCCCACCCTACAACCCTCCTATCCCCAAACACTAACCCCCTAACCCTCTATCCCCAACCCTATACCCTCTATCCCCAACCCTTAATCCCTCTATCCCCAACCCGAAACCCTCTATCCCCAACCCTACCCCTACCCTCTCTACCCAACCCTAACCCTCTATCCCCAACCTTAACCCTCTATCCCCACCCCCCCCCCTAACCCTCTATCCCAACCCTAACACCCTCTATCCCCCACCCTACCCCCTAACTCTCTAATCCCCAGCCCTAACCCTCTATCCCCAACCGAACACTCTATCCCCCAGCCCTAACCCTCATCCCCAGCCCTAACCCTCTTCCCACCCTAACCCTCTATCTCCCCAACTCACCTTACCCTCTATCCCCAACCTTACCCTCTATCTCCCCAACCCTAACCCTCTAAACTCCCCCAACCCTAACCCCCTAACCCTCTATCCCCAACCTCACCCTCTATCCCCAGCCCTACCCATCTATCCCCAGCCCTAACCCTCTATCCCCAACCTAACCCCCTAACCAACCCTAACCCTCGATCCCCTCTATCGCCCACCATTACCCTCTATCCCCAACCCTAACCCCTCTAACTATCCCCCAACCCTAACCCCCTAACCCTCTAATCCCCAACCCTACACCCTCTATCCCCAACCCTACCCTCTATCTCCCCAACCCTTACCCTCTACTATCCCCAACCCTACAACCCCTCTTTCCCCAACCCTACCCTCTATCCCAGAGCCCTAACCCCCTAACCCTCTTATCCCCAACCCTACCCTCTAGCCCCACCTAATTCCCTATCCCCAGCCCTAACCCTCTATTCCCCAGCACCCTAACCCCTCTGCCCCACCCTAACCCCCTAACCCTCTATCCCCAACCCTAACCCTCTATCCCCAACCCTATAACCCCAACCTCATGGTAACTAACCTAGGTAAGGTATGGGCTAACTATCTAACCCCAGCCCTAACCCCTAACCACCCTCTAATTCCCCCAACCCGAACCCTCAGTCCCCAACCCTCTAAAACCCCAACCTCATGGTAACTACCTAGGTAGGTATGGGCTAACTCTCTAACCCCATCCCTAAACCTCTAAATCCTCTATCCACAGCCCTACCCTCTACCCCAGCCCTCACCCCCTAACCCTCTATCCCCACCCGACCTCTCTTATCCCCAACCCTATAACCCAACCTCATGGTAACTAACCTAGGTAAGGTATGGCTTAACTATCTCACCCACACAGCGCTACCCTCTCATAATCCTCTATATCCCCAACCCTTTAATCCTAACAGTGTCATGGAAACTAACCTAGGTTAAGCTATGGGATAACTATCTATCCCCAACCCTTTAATCCTAACAGTGTCATGGTAACTAACATAGGTTAAGGTATGGGATAACTATCTGACAGTGTCATGTAACTAAACTAGGTTAAGGTATGGGATAACTATCTGACAGTGTCATGGTAACTAACCTGGGTTAAGGTATGGGATAACTAACTGACAGTGTAAAATGGAACTACCTAGAACGTGAGGTTTAAGAGTATGGGATATAACTATCTGACAGTGTCATGGTAACTAACCTAGGTTAAGGTATGGGATAACCCTCTAACAGTGTCATGGTAACTAACCTAGGCTAAGTTATGGGATAACTATCTGACCAGTGTCAGTGATCAGTTACTATGCTGGCTGGCTATTGATCAGTTACTATGCTGCCTGGCTATTGATCAGTTACTATTCTGGCTGGCTTTATTTGATCAGTTTACTATGCTGGCTGGCTATTGATCAGGTACTATGCTGGCTGGGCTATATGATCAGTTTACTATTTCTGTACTGGCTATTGATCAGTTGACTATGGCTGGCTGGCTATTGATCAGTTACTATGCTGGCTGGCTATTGATCAGTTACTATGCTGGCTGGCTATTGATCAGTTACTTTGGCTAGCTATTGATCAGTTACTATGCTGGCTATTGATCAGTTACTATGCTGGCTATTGATCAGTTACTATGCTGGCTGGCTATTGATCAGTTACTATGCTGGCTGGCTATTGATCAGTTACTTTGGCTAGCTATTGATCAGTTACTATGCTGGCTATTGATCAGTTACTATGCTGGCTGGCTATTCATCAGTTACTTTGGCTGGCTATTGATCAGTTACTTTGGCTGGCTATTGATCAGTTACTTTGGCTGGCTATTGATCAGTTACTATGCTGGCTGGCTATTGATCAGTTACTTTGGCTGGCTATTGATCAGTTACTATGCTGGCTGGCTATTGATCAGTTACTTTGGCTGGCTATTGATCAGTTCCTATGCTGGCTGGCTATTGATCATTTACTATGCTGGCTGGCTATTGATCAGTTACCTTGGCTGTCTATTGATCAGTTACTATGCTGGCTGGCTATTGATCAGTTACTTTGGCTGGCTATTGATCAGTTACTTTGGCTGGCTATTGATCAGTTACTTTGGCTGGCTATTGATCAGTTACTATGCTGGCTGGCTATTGATCAGTTACTTTGGCTGGCTATTGATCAGTTACTATGCTGGCTGGCTATTGATCAGTTACTTTGGCTGGCTATTGATCAGTTACTATGCTGGCTGGCTATTGATCATTTACTATGCTGGCTGGCTATTGATCAGTTACCTTGGCTGTCTATTGATCAGTTACTATGCTGGCTGGCTATTGATCAGTTACTTTGGCTGGCTATTGATCAGTTACTTGCACAGCAGATCATTGTTGATTTGGGGTTGGGTCTCAAAATAATCAGAACACTTAAAGCAACTATACTTTACAATACAATATTATAGCAACCGGCCAGGTTTATAATTAAATATTACACCCAATCAGAACAGGTTTATATCAGGGTAATGTCCATACCCAGTCAGACCAGGTTTATATCGAGGTAACGTCCATACCCAATCAGACCAGGTTTATATCGGGGTAATGTATCATACCCAATAAAACCGAGTTTATATTGAGTTAATGTCCCAATCTGAAGAGGGTTTTAATTGAAGTAATGTCCCAATCAGAACAGGGCTTACATTGAGGTAACGTCCCAATCATAACAAGTTATATTGAGGTAATGTATCATACCCCATTAGAACAGAATTTCTATTGAGTTAATGTCCTACTCAGAACAGGGTTTATAATGAGATAATGTATCATACCACATCAGAACAGGGTTTATATTGAGGTAATGTATCATACCACATCAGGACAGGGTTAATAATGAGATAATGTATCATACCCAATCAGGACAGGGTTTATATTGAGATAATGTATCATACCACATCAGGACAGGGTTTATAATGAGATAATGTATCATACCCAATCAGGACAGGGTTTATATTGAGGTAATGTATCATACCACATCAGGACAGGGTGTATAATGAGATAATGTATGATACCACATCAGGACAGGGTTTATAAGGAGATAATGTATCATACCACATATGAACAGGGTTTATAATGAGATAATGTATCATACCCAATCAGAACAGGGTTTATATTGAGGTAATGTATCATACCACATCAGGACAGGGTTTATATTGAGGTAATGTATCATACCCCATTAGAACAGGGTTTATATTGAGGTAATGTATCATACCACATCAGGACAGGGTTTATATTGAGGTAATGTATCATACCCCATTAGAACAGGATTTCTATTGAGTTAATGTCCTATTCAGAACAGGGTTTATAATGAGATAATGTATCATACCCAATCAGAACAGGGTTTATATTGAGGTAATGTATCATACCACATCAGAACAGGGTTTATATTGAGGTAATGTATCATACCCAATCAGGACAGGGTTTATAATGAGATAATGTATCATACCCAATCAGGACAGTGTTTATAATGAGATAATGTATCATATCCAATCAGGACAGGGTTTATATTGACTAACCCTAACCCTAACTTTACAGTAGTGGGAATGTCATTGACCTGGTTCTCTCCACTCTGTCCCTCTCCTTGCTGCCTTGTTCCAGATACTGCTGGTATGTACAATACTACTAATATACTATACTACATATTAAGCATAGTGTAACCAAGTGTATGACTAAAACAGTGTTAGCTCATCTGTGTCTGACCCTCTCCCTCACTGTTGTTCAAAGAGCCATTGTTGAGAAACCCTACCACTAGTCTACCTGTACACTGTGCTGTATAGAAACCCTACCACTACTTTAGCTCTATACCAGGTGTTTTCAGTCTAAGACAGTGGGCCTTTTATGATAAATATATTCCATTCTGTTGCACTGAAACAGTTAGAGACTCAGTTCTGATTGTAGGCATTAATCTCCTGCTCCCACATTGGGGCTTAAATCATGCTCTGCACACATTCATTAACATGCAACTGACTTTAATCAATAAAAGGGCTTTCAGAATATCCAGATAATTATTGTTTTTTATTACATTTACATTTAAGTCATTTAGCAGACGCTCTTATCCAGAGCGACTTACAAATTGGTGCATTCACCCTATAGCCAGTGGGTTAACCACTTAACAATTTTTATTTTTATTTTATTTTCTTTATATCATTTTCCATTTTTTTTTTTTTTTTAATCTTTTTTTTGGGGTGGGGGGGGGGGGGGGGGGGGGGGTAGAAGGATTACTTCATCCTATCCCAGGTATTCCTTAAAGAGGTGGGGTTTCAAATGTCTCCGGAAGGTGGTGAGTGACTCCGCTGTCCTGGCGTCGTGAGGGAGCTTGTTCCACCATTGGGGTGCCAGAGCAGCGAACAGTTTTGACTGGGCTGAGCGGGAACTATGCTTCCGCAGAGGAAGGGGAGCCAGCAGGCCAGAGGTGGATGAACGCAATGCCCTCGTTTGGGTGTAGGGACTATTACATGTCATTGCCCTTTTAATTATATATATATATATATATATATATATTATAAAAAGCCATTGCCACTTTAAGAGCTCTGTTGCACAGTTGCGCCTTACCATGCTAGAAACGCCATTTGTAATAGCATTTTTTAAATGATGCAACTCTCGCAATTTTAGGAGTTAAGAAATAAAAGTGGTAGCTCTGGAAAGCTGAGATACCCCTTTTTAAATGCAGCCATCAAAACTGCTTTAAAATATGTGTTTTCCCCGCGATTGTAACTATAAACAGGCTTAATATTGATTAATTATTGGAGAACCGAGTACCGTTTGGAGAACCGAGTACCGTTTGGAGAACCGAGTACCGTTTGGAGAACCGAGTACCGTTTGGAGAACCAAGTACCGTTTGGAGAACCGAGTACCGTTTGGAGAACCGAGTACCGTTTGACTTGTCTTTCCTTTCACGTGTTCCTTGAAACTCTTTGCCCCCCCCACCCTCCCCCGGGGAGGCGCTCCTCACACTTTGAAAACCTCTGCTCTTGACTGTGCTGTCTAAAACGATACAGTAGATGTGATCATTGATCTCGTAACATTTAGATATGTCAGGTTTTGTTTAGAAAGGTTAGGGTTTGTTTGGCGGGTTCATTGTTGGAGGGTTTAGTGACCACCTTCCTCCATTTCTCAGCCCAGATCCAGGGGGAGGTGGAGCGGATATTCGAGCTAGCCCGGAGCCTACAGCTGGTGGTGCTGGATGCAGACACAGTGAACCACCCCATCCAGCTGTCTAAAACATCTCTGGCCCCCATCCTGGTCTACATCAAGGTCTCCTCCCCCAAGGTAAGGTTTCTCAAAGCTGGGTTAGTAAAGGTTCCTCACAGCTGGGTTAGTAAAGGTTCCTCACAGCTGGGTTAGTAAAGGTTCCTCACAGCTGGGTTAGTAAAGGTTCCTCACAGCTTGGTTAGTAAAGGTTCTATACAGCTGGGTTCCGAAAGGTTTTAGACAGCTGGGTTAGTAAAGGTTCCTCACAGTGGGGTTATTAAAGGTTCTTCGAAGCTGGTTTAGTAAAGGTTCTTCATAGCTGGTGTAGTAAAGATTTTATGCAGCTGGGTTAGTAAAGGTTCTAAACAGCTGGATTTGTTAAGGTTCTATACAGCTGGGTTAGTAATGTTTCTATACAGCTGGGTTAGGAAAGGTTATTTACAGCTAAGTTAAAAAAGGTTCTTCATAGCTGGGTTATTAAAATGTTCTTCACAGTTGGGTTAGAAAAGGTTCTATACAGCTGGGTTAGAGAAGGTTTTACACAACTGGGTTATTAAAGGTTCTATTCAGATGGGTTAGTAAAGGTTCTACACAGTTGTGTTAGTAAAAATTATATGAAGCTGGGGTGGTAAAGGTTCTATTCAGCTGGGTTAGTGAAGTTTATTCACAGCTGGGTTGGAAAAGGTTATATTCAGCTGGTTTAGTAAAGGTTCCTTACTGTTGGGCTATTAAAGGCTCTTCACAGCTGGGTTTGTAAACATTTACATTTACATTTAAGTCATTTAGCAGACGCTCTTATCCAGAGCGACTTACAAATAGGTGCATTCACCTTATAGCCAGTGGGATAACCACTTTACAATGGTTTTTTTTATTATTATTATTTTTTTTTTGGGGGGGGGGGTGGGTTGGAGTAAAGGGGGGGGGGGGGGGGGGGGGGTAGAAGGATTACTTTATCCTATCCCAGCTGGGTTAGTAAAGGTTCAATACAGCTAGGGTAGTAAAGGTTCTATACAGCTGGGTTAGTGAAGATTATTCACAGCTGGGTTGGAAAAGGTTCTATTCAGCTGGTTTAGTAAAGGTTCCTCACTGTTGGGATGTTAACGGCTCTTCAAAGCTGGGTTTGTAAAGGTTCTACAGAGCTGGGTGAGTTTTGATTATTCCCAGCTGGGTTGGTTAAAGGTTCTGTACAGCTGGGTTAGTAAAGGTTCTATACAGCTTGGGTTGTAACGGTTTTCACAGCTGTATTATTAAAGGTTCCTCACAGCTGGTTTAGTGAAGGCTATTCACAGCTGGGTTATTAAAGGTTCTATAGTGGCGCAGTGGTCTAAGGCACTGCGTAGCTGTGCCACTAGAGATCCTGGTTCGAATCCAGGCTCTGTCGTAGCCGGCCACGACCGGGAGACCCATGGGGCGGACAATCAAATGAGGAGATAGACAGATGGGTCAGGGGGAAAAGAGAGAATGTCCACTTGGGAGAGATGAGGATTCCTGTGCCACCGCCGCGCTGACCAGATGCTCTCGGGGTATGCGAGAACACATGATCAGACGAGGAAAGAGCAGTAGGAGTAGCAGTGTTTTCTGTGGTAATCCATGTTTCCGTCAGCGCCAAGAAGTCGAGGGACTGGAGGGTAGCATAGGCTGAGCTGAACTCTGCCTTGTTGGCCGCAGAACGGCAGTTCCAGAGGCTGCCGGAGACCTGCCAGAGCAGCAATTGGTCTTAAATCACTAATTGGTTCAAGAAACATTTAGACTGCAAGCTGATTTGGACATTTCGGCTTTCGCCAGTGTGCCGCATAGCTGGGTTAATAAAGGTTCCTCACAGCTGGGTTAGTAAAGGTTCTTCACAGCTGGGTTAGTAAAGGTTCCTCACAGCAGGGTTATTAAAGGTCTTCACAGCTCGGTTATTAAAAGTTCTATACAGCTGGGGTAGTAAAGGTTCTTTAAAGATGGGTTATTAAAGTTTCTATACAGCTGGGTTAGTAAATATTCTTCATAGCTGGTTTAACAAAGGTTCTTCACAGCAGTGTTTGTAAAGATTCTATACAGCTGGGTTATTAAAAGGTTCTATATAGATGGGTTACTAAAGATTCTATACAGCTGGGTTAGTAAAGGATTTATACAGTTGGGTTGGTAAAGGTTCTTCATAGCTGGTTTAACAAAGGTTCTAACAGCTGGGTTAGTGAAGGTTCTTTACAGCTGGGTTGGTAAAGGTTATTCACACCTGAGTTAGTAAATGCGCTTCACATCTGGGTTAGTGAAGTTTCTATACAGCTGGTTTAGTAAAGATTCCTCACATCTGGGTTATTAAAGGATCTTCACAGCTTTGTTAGTAAAGGTTCTATACAGCTTTGTTAGTAAAGGTTCTATTCAGCTGGGTTAGTAAAGGTTCCTCACAGCTGGATTATTAAATGCTTTTCACAGCTGGGTTAGTAAAGGTTCTATACAGCTGGGTTAATAAATGTTCTATACAGCTGTGTTAATAAAAGTTATATACTGCTGAATTAGTAAAGGCTCCTCGCAGCTGGGTTAAAAGGGTAAAATACAGCTGGGTTAGTAAAGGTTTTATACAGCTGGGTTAGTAAAGGTTCTATACAGCTGGGTTAGTAAAGGTTCCTCACAACTGGGTTAGTAAAGTTTTTATACAGCTGGGATAATAAAGGTTCCTCACAGCTGGATTATTAAAGGTCCTTCACATCTGGGTTATTAAAAGTTATTTGCAGCTGGGTCAGTAACGGTTCTATACAGCTGGGTTAATAAAGGTTCTATACAGCTGAGTTAGTAAATTGTATTTACTGCTAAGTTAGTAAATGTTCTTTACAGCTGGGTTAGTAAATGTGCTAAATAGCTGGGCTACTATAGATTCTACACACCTGGGTTAGTAAAGGTTCCTCACAGCTGGATAATTAAAGGTCCTTCTCAACTGGGTTAGTAAAGGTTCTATACAGCTGGGTTAGTAACATTTCTTTAAAGCTGGGTTAATAAAGGTTCTATACAGCTGAGTTAGTGAAGGTTCTTCACAGCTGGGTTAGTAAACGTTATTCACACTCGGTTAGTAAATCTTCAATTTAGCTGGGTTAGGAAAGGTTCTATACAGTTGGGTTAGTAAAGGTTCTACACTGCTGGTTAGTAAAGGTTCCTCACAGCTGGGTTAGTAAAGGTTCCTCACAGCTTGGTTAGTAAAGGTTCCTCACAGCTGGGTTAGTAAAGGTTCCTCACAGCTGGGTTAGTTAAGGTTCTATACAGCTGGATTAATAAAGGTTCTATACAGCTGAGTTATTAATTGTTCCTCACAGCTGGGTTAGTAAATGTTCTTCACAGCTGAGTTATTAAAGGTTCCTCACAGCTGGGTTAGTAAAGGTTCCTCACAGCTGGGTTAGTAAAGGTTCCTCACAGCTGGGTTAGTTAAGGTTCTATACAGCTGGATTAATAAAGGTTCTATACAGCTGAGTTATTAAATGTTCCTCACAGCTTGGTTAGTAAAGGTTCCTCACAGCTGGGTTAGTAAATGTTCTTCACAGCTTGGTTAGGAAAGTTTCTATATTGCTGGATTAGTAAAGGTTCTATACAGCTGGTTATGCAAAGCCTATTCACAGCTGGGTTAGGAAAGGTTATATGTAGCTGGGTTAGTAAATGTTGTATACAGCTGGGTTAGTGAAGGTTTTATACAGATGGGTTAGTAAAGGTTCCTCACAGCTTGGTTAGTAAAGTTTCCTCACAGCTGGGTTAGTAAAGATTCTATATAGCTGTGTTAGTAAAGGTTCCCCAGAGCTGTGTTAGTAAAGGTTCTATACAGCTGGGTTAGTAAAGGTTCTATACAGCTGGATTAATAAAGTTTATAAACATTGAAGTAATGTTGTATATGTTGTTTTCACCCTCCCTCTCTTCTGCTCCTCCTCTCTACCTCTCATCTTCTGTTGTCCAGGTGTTATCAAGGCTTATCAAGACCAGGGGCAAGTCTCAAACCAAGCATCTCAACGTCCAGATGGTGGCTGCAGACAAACTGGCCCAGTGTCCCACGGTGAGAGTAACCTAACCAACACTAACATAATAACCCTAAGCCTAACCCAACCCTACCCCTGACTGGCCCAGTGTCCCACGGTGAGAGTAACCTAACCAACACTAACATAATAACCCTAACCCTAACCCAAACCTAACCCTACCCCTGACTGGCCCAGTGCCCCACGGTGAGAGTAACCTAACCAACACTAACATAATAACCCTAACCCTAACCGAAACCTAACCCTACCCCTGACTGGCCCAGTGCCCCACGGTGAGAGTAACCTAACCAACACTAACATAATAACCCTAACCCTAACCCAAACCTAACCCTACCCCTGACTGGCCCAGTGTCCCACAGTGAGAGTCACCTTAACCTTAACCATAGTAACCATAACCCTAACCATAATAACCATGACCCCAACCTAACCGTAATAACAATAACCCTAACCCAAACCCAACCCTACCCCTGACTGGCCCAGTGTCCCACGGTGAGAGTAACCTGACCATAATAACCATGACCCTAACATAATAACCCTAACCCTAGCCCAAAGCTTACCCTACCCCTGACTGGCCCAGTGTCCCACGGTGAGAGTAACCTGACCATAATAACCATGACCCTAACATAATAACCCTAACCCTAACCCAAAGCTTACCCTACCCCTGACTGGCCCAGTGTCCCACGGTGAGAGTAACCTGACCATAATAACCATGACCCTAACATAATAACCCTAACCCTAACCCAAAGCTTACCCTACCCCTGACTGGCCCAGTGTCCCACGGTGAGAGTAACCTGACCATAATAACCATGACCCTAACATAATAACCCTAACCCTAACCCAAAGCTTACCCTAACCCCTGACTGGCCCAGTGTCCCACGGTGAGAGTAACCTGACCATAATAACCATGACCCTAACATAATAACCCTAACCCTAGCCCAAAGCTTACCCTACCCCTGACTGGCCCAGTGTCCCACGGTGAGAGTAACCTGACCATAATAACCATGACCCTAACATAATAACCCTAACCCTAGCCCAAAGCTTACCCTACCCCTGACTGGCCCAGTGTCCCACGGTGAGAGTAACCTGACCATAATAACCATGACCCTAACATAATAACCCTAACCCTAACCCTAACCATAACCATAGTAACCATAACCCTAACCATAATAACCATGACCCTAACATAATAACCCTAACCCTAACCCAAAGCTTACCCTACCTCTAACTGTTCCAGTGTCCCATTTTGAGTGTAACCTTAACCATAACCATAGTAACCATAACCCTAACCATAATAACCATGACCCTAACCTAACCGTAATAACAATAACCCTGACCCAAACCTAACCCTACCCCTGACTGTTCCAGTGCCCCACAGTGAGAGTCACCTGAAGAATAATCATCAGAGGTGTCATGATCCGTTTCTTCCCCGCCATCTGAGTCGCTTTCATTCAGATCTTGTAGCAATGCTAACACAGCATGTGCATCCATTCGTCTTGGTCTTGCCATTGTAAATTATGCACGCTCTGATTGTGTAGCCTACTCCAAGTAGTAGAATAATAAGACTGTTTGGATTCGACTGATATAGGGCACACCGTTTTGAGATTATAATTAGAATAGATACAATAGAATCTTCATTCACAATTAGTGATTACATAGTTATGTATAGTTTGCTTCCCCTTGCTCATCAACTGACGCATTCCCCCCATCATATTATACTTAAATTATTTCATCTGTTGTTATGTGTGTGAAATTAGTTTTGTGTGTAGAGTCTATGTTTTGTGTTCATTGTTTCAGTTTCTAGTTCATGTGTTTCTATGTTGGCTGGGGTGGTTCTCAATCAGAGGCAACGTGAATCAGCTGTTGCTTGTTGTCTCTGATTGGGAACCATACTTAGGCAGCCGTTTGGCACTTGTGTTTTGTGGTATCTTGTTCCGTGTTGGTTTGTGTATGTACCCAAGGACTTCACGTATCGTTTTGTTGTTTTTGTTCGTGTGGTGAATAATAATAAAAGATGTTCGCATTCCACGCTGCGCATTGGTCCACTCCTTTCGACGATCGTGACATGCGCTCTGGCACACTCAGATGAGAGTGCTCTGAAATCGGAGTAGATGGCCAGAGCGGATTTACCAAATATGTCTATCGACAGTTGTCGCAGTGACATCATGAACATTCTATTGAAATGGATACTTGCATAGTGGAGTCTTTTGTATCAACATGTAGCTAGCTAAACAATGAACCATAATCCCAACTCATAACCTTACTACCCTGCATGAATCTGCAGGTAACTAACAAATCAGGTTCAATGTTAGCTAGCTAGCTAACATTAGGCTACAACTAGCAATGCAAATGGCTCTGAGATACGAATAATATTACTACACAGATCATATACGTACCGTTAGCTAGCGAGCCAGCCAGCTAACGTTAGCTAGCTAGCTAACAGTATGCTTTAACTTGAAATGAAAACTAATTTCTGACAAAATTAGAAACTTGTCATATCTGAAAATGTAGGAGAGGCCTGCCAGGTAGGATGCAATCCAAGAGTGTGCAGAGCCTGAGACGCCCAGCCCTGAGAGGGTGGAGAGGAGGATCTGATTCTGCACAGTGTCGAAGGTAGCGGATACATCTAGGAGGATGAGAACAGAGGAGCGAGAGTCAGCTTTGGTAGTGCGGAGAGCTTACGTATCATCCTGTATCACCCTGTATCAGTCTGTATTAGTATGCATAACCCTGTATCAGTCTGTATCAGTCTGTATCAGTCTGTTTCAACCTGTATCAGCCTGTATCACTCCGTATCACCCTGTATCATGCTGCATAACCCTGTATCAGTCTGTATCAGTCTGTATCAGTCTGTTTCAACCTGTATCAGCCTGTATCACTCCGTATCACCCTGTATCATGCTGCATCACCATGTATCAGCCTGTATCAGTCTGTATCCCTCTGTCTCTGCCTCTCCATGCTGAATCTGTCCTTGTTATCTGAGATTAAGTTCTTTCCTTCCATCCTGTCTAAATCAGGCTCCTAAACAGAGATGTACAGTGGGGGAAAAAAGTATTTAGTCAGCCACCAATTGTGCAAGTTCTCCCACTTAAAAAGATGAGAGAGGCCTGTAATTGTCATCATAGGTACACGTCAACTATGACAGACAAATTGAGAAAAGAAATTCCAGAAAATCACATTGTAGGATTTTTAATGAATTTATTTGCAAATGATGGTGGAAAATAAGTATTTGGTCACCTACAAACAAGCAAGATTTCTGGCTCTCACAGACCTGTAACTTCTTCTTTAAGAGGCTCCTCTGTCCTCCACTCGTTACCTGTATTAATGGCACCTGTTTGAACTTGTTATCAGTATAAAAGACACCTGTCCACAACCTCAAACAGTCACACTCCAAACTCCACTATGGCCAAGACCAAAGAGCTGTCAAAGGACACCAGAAACAAAATTGTAGACCTGCACCTGGCTGGGAAGACTGAATCTGCAATAGGTAAGCAGCTTGGTTTGAAGAAATCAACTGTGGGAGCAATTATTAGGAAATGGAAGACATACAAGACCACTGATAATCTCCCTCGATCTGGGGCTCCACGCAAGATCTCACCCCGTGGGGTCAAAATGATCACAAGAACGGTGAGCAAAAATCCCAGAACCACACAGGGGGACCTAGTGAATGACCTGCAGAGAGCTGGGACCAAAGTAACAAAGCCTACCATCAGTAACACACTACGCCACCAGGGAATCAAATCCTGCAGTGCCAGACGTGTCCCCCTGCTTAAGCCAGTACATGTCCAGGCCCGTCTGAAGTTTGCTAGAGTGCATTTGGATGATCCAGAAGAGGATTGGGAGAATGTCATATGGTCAGATGAAACCAAAATATAACTTTTTGGTAAAAAACTCAACTCGTCGTGTTTGGAGGACAAAGAATGCTGAGTTGCATCCAAAGAACACCATACCTACTGTGAAGCATGGGGGTGGAAACATCATGCTTTGGGGCTGTTTTTCTGCAAAGGGACCAGGACGACTGATCCGTGTAAAGGAAAGAATGAATGGTGCCATGTATCGTGAGATTTTGAGTGAAAACCTCCTTCCTTCAGCAAGGGCATTGAAGATGAAACGTGGCTGGGTCTTTCAGCATGACAATGATCCCAAACACACCGCCCGGGAACGAAGGAGTGGCTTCGTAAGAAGCATTTCAAGGTCCTGGAGTGGCCTAGCCAGTCTCCAGATCTCAACCCCATAGAAAATCTTTGGAGGGAGTTGAAAGTCTGTGTTGCCCAGCGACAGCCCCAAAACATCACTGCTCTAGAGGAGATCTGCATGGAGGAATGGGCCAAAATACCAGCAACAGTGTGTGAAAACCTTGTGAAGACTTACAGAAAACGCTTGACCTGTGTCATTGCCAACAAAGGGTATATAACAAAGTATTGAGAAACGTTTGTTATTGACCAAATACCTATTTTCCACCATAATTTGCAAATAAATTCATTAAAAATCCTACAATGTGATTTTCTGGATATTTTTTTCTCATTTTGTCTGTCATAGTTGACGTGTACCTATTATGAAAATTACAGGCCTCTCTCATCTTTTTAAGTGGGAGAACTTGCACAATTGGTGGCTGACTAAATACTTTTTTCCCCCACTGTACTTGATTTGATTATCAGATAGTGTTATTTTAAGTAATTGGTATCCAAGGGGACTGGTAAAGCAGCAGTGACCTGAGTGGTGCAGTGGTCTAAGGCACTGCATCGCAGTGCTAACTGTGCCACTAGAGATCCTGGTTCGAATCCAGGCTCTGTCGCAGCCGGCCGCGACCAGGAGACTCATGGGCGGCGCACAATTGGCCCAGCGTTGTCCAGGGTAGGGGAGGGAATGGCCGGCAGGGATGTAGCTCAGTTGATAGAGCATGGCGTTTGCAACGCCAGGGTTGTGGGTTCGATTCCCACGGGGGGCCAGTATAAAAAAAAAAAATGTATTCACTAACTGTAAGTCGCTCTGGATAAGAGCGTCTGCTAAATGACTAAAATGTAAAATGTAATGGATTGTCCCTTCAGTCTGAATGACACTAACACCCTGTCTGGCCTGCAGGAGATGTATGACGTAATCTTGGATGAGAACCAGCTGAGCGATGCCTGTGAGCACATAGCAGACTACCTAGAGGCATACTGGAGGGCCACCCACCCCCCAGAAACAGAACCTGTTAACCCCTTAGTGGAGAAGCTGGCAGAGAACACACTGCCTACAAGCCCTGCTCCAAAGGTAACCCTAAATCTAACCACAACCCAACTTCACAGTTAGAACAGAGTTACAATGTCATCATAGTTGGAATGTAATAAGAACGTCACCATAGTTAGAACATCACACTAGTTAGAACGTCACACTAGTTTGAACGTCACCATAGTAAAAACATCACACTAGTTTGAACGTTACCATAGTAAAAACATCACACTAGTTTGAACGTCACCATAGTAAAAACGTCACACTCGTTTGAACGTCACCATAGTAAAAACATCACACTAGTTAGAACGTCACCATAGTTAAAACATCACACTAGTTTCGAACGTCACCATAGATTAAAACCGTCACACTAGTTTGAACGTCACCATAGTAAAACATCACACTAGTTTGAACGTCACCATAGTTAAAACATCACACTAGTTGAACGTCACCATAGTTAAAACATCACACTAGTTTGAACGTCACCATAGTTAAAACATCACACTAGTTAGAACGTCACCATAGGTGTACTCAAACTCCTGTTTTCATTTCAATCAGTGCCATTTATATAGTTTTCTCACCTTAACTAATACTTGTGGAACATCCAGAGTGAGAGATCTTTTTCTGGTGATCTACTACACCCACATATATACACAAGAAATCACCATGTAGACACCATATATACACCATATACACACCATATATACACCATATATACACCATATATACACCATATACACACCATATATACCATATATACACCATATATACACCATATATATACCATATGTACACCAAATACAGTATACACCATAGACACACCATATAAACACCATATATACACCATATACAGTGTATTCAGAAAATATTCAGACCCCTTAACTTTTTCCACATTTTGTTATGTTAAAGACTTATTCTAAAATGGATTAAATCATTTTTTTCCCTCATCAATCTACACACAATACCCCATAATGACAAAGCAAAAACAAATGTATTAAAAATAAAAACTTAAATATCACATTTAAATAAGTATTCAGACCCTTTACTCAGCACCTTTGGCAGTGATTGCAGCCTTCAATCTTCTTGGGTATGATGCTACAAGCTTGGCACTGTCAATGGGGCTGATGTGGATGCGGTGTCGGAGTCAGGCGCAGGACACAGAAGCTCAGTCAAACAGACTTTACTAGTCAAATATACAATACAAAAATAAACGGGCCTCAAACACTGGAGGCGAGTGATTACGCAAGCAGTGCGTAAAACACTAACTAAATGAGCACAAAACTCTGACTTCAACGGACAGGCGGACAACAACACACAAACTCACATACACAAAGCAGAAAACTTATAGGACACATAATTAGACACAAACGGACACAGGTGCAACAGACAGACCAAACCAAACAAACATCGAAACATCCAACGGTGGTAGCTAGTACTCCGGGGACGACGAACGCCGAAGCCTGCCCGAGCAAGGAGGAGGAGCAGCCTCGGCAGAATCCGTGACAGTACCCCCCCCCTTGACACGCGGCTCCAGCCCTGCGCCGACCCCGGCCTCGGGGACGACCAGGAGGACGCGGAGCAGGGCGCGTGGGATGACCACGGTGGAACTCAGTCAGGAGGGATGGATCTAGGATATCCCTCCTAGGCACCCAGCACCGTTCCTCCGGGCCGTACCCCTCCCACTCCACGAGATACTGGAGACCCCCCATCCGACGTCTCGAATCCAAGATGGTCCGGACCGTGTACACCAGAGCTCCCTCGATGTCCAGTGGGGGCGGGGGGGTCTCTCCTATCTCACCTTCCTGGAGTGGACCAGCTACCACCGGCCTGAGAAGAGACACATGGAACGAGGGGTTAATATTCTCATAATCAATAGGCAGTTGTAACCTGTAACACACCTCGTTCAATCTCCTCAGGACTTTAAAAGGCCCCACAAACCGCCGACCCAGCTTCCGGCAGGGCAGGCGGAGGGGCAGGTTTCGAGTCGAGAGCCAGACTCGATCTCCCAGTGCGTACACCGGGCCCTCACTGCGGTGGAGATCGGCGCTCGCCTTCTGTCGACGGATGGCCCGCTGCAGATGAACGTGTGCAGCGTTCCACGTCTCCTCCGAGCGCCGAACCCACTCATCCACCGCAGGAGCCTCGATCTGGCTCTGGTGCCATGGTGCCAGAACCGGCTGATACCCTAACACACACTGGAAAGGGGTTAGATTGGTGGAGGAGTGGCGGAGAGAGTTCTGTGCCATCTCTGCTCAGGGGATTTACCTTGACCACTCCTCCGGCCGGCCCTGGCAATAGGACCTCAGAAACCTACCCACATCCTGGTTAACTCGTTCTACCTGCCCATTGCTCTCTGGGTGGTAACCCGAGGTAAGGCTCACCGAGACCCCCAAGCGTTCCATGAACGCCCTCCAGACTCTGGAGGTGAACTGGGGACCTCGGTCAGACACTATATCCTCGGGAACCCCGTAGTGCCGGAAGACGTGGGTAAATAGTGCCTCAGCGGTCTGTAGGGCAGTAGGGAGACCCGGCATTGGGAGGAGACGACAGGCCTTAGAAAACCGATCCACAACGACCAAAATGGTGGTATTCCCCTGGGAGGGGGGAAGGTCGGTCACAAAGTCCACCGAGAGGTGAGACCATGGTCGTTGTGGAACGGGCAGGGGATGTAACTTCCCCCTGGGCAGGTGTCTAGGCGCCTTACACTGGGCGCACACCGAGCAGGAGGAAACATAAACCTTCACATCCCTAGCTAACGTTGGCCACCAGTATTTCACGCTAAGGCAGTGCATTGTCTGGCCAATACCTGGATGTCCAGAGGAGGGTGACGTATGAGCCCAATAAATAAGCCGATCACGAACCTTGAGCGGAACGTACGTCCGCCCCACAGGACACTCTGGGGGAGTAGGGTCGGTACGAAACGCCCGCTCGATCTCCGCATCGACCTCCCACACCACCGGAGCCACCAGACAAGACTCCGGCAGTATGGGAGTGGGCTCAATGGACCTCTCCTCTGTGTCATACCGCCGGGACAGGGCGTCTGCCTTACCGTTCTGGGACCCTGGGATGTACGTTATTTAAAAAATTAACCGGGTTAGAAACATATTCCACCTAGCCTGACAAGGGTTTAATCTCCTAGCTGCCCGGATGTACTCCAGGTTACGGTGGTCAGTCAGAATGAGGAAAGGGTGTTGAGCCCCCTTAAGCCAATGCCTCCACACCTTTAGGGCCTGAACCACGGCTAACAGCTCCCTGTCCCCTACGTCATAATTTCGCTCCGCCGGGCTGAGCTTCTTAGAATAGAACGCACAGGGGCGGAGTTTAGGTGGCGTGCCGGACCGTTGCAACAGTACTGCCCCAATACCGGCCTCTGACGCGTCCACCTCTACTCGGAATGGTAAAGCGGGGTCCGGATGCGCCAGCACCGGAGCCGAAGTGAACAGGTTCTTCAGTTTAACAAATGCCCTGTCCGCTTCAGCTGACCACTGCAAACGCACTGGACCCCCTTCAGCAGGGACGTAATGTGAGCTGCCACCTGACCAAAGCCCCGGATAAACCTCCGGTAGTAATTAGCAAAACCCAAAAACTGCTGCACCTCTTTAACAGTGGTTGGAGTTTGCCAATTACGCACGGCAGACACACGGTCAACCTCAATCTTCACCCCTGACGCGGACAACAGATAACCCAAAAAGGAGATGGACTCCTGGAAAAACAAACATTTCTCTGCCTTGACATACAAGTCATGCTCCAACAGCCTCCCCAACACTCGGCGCACCAGGGCTACATGCTCGGCTCGTGTAGAAGAGTACACTAGGATGTCGTCGATGTACACCACAACACCCTGCCCATGCATGTCCCGGAAGATCTCGTCCACAAAGGATTGGAAGACTGAAGGAGCATTCATTAACCCGTATGGCATGACGAGATACTCGTAATGACCCGAGGTGGTGCTAAATGCTGTTTTCCATTCATCTCCCTCCCTAATGCGCACCAGGTGGCTCCGCGGGAGTGCTGCTCCTGTTTGGAGGTCTATCGCACAATCCCCCTGTCTATGAGGAGGCAACCGTGTCGCCCTTGTTTTGCTGAACACGAGTGCTAAATCCTCATACTCAGGGGGAATGTGCATTGCGGGCACTTGGTTCGGACTCTCCACCGAGGTCGCCCCCACGGAAACACCTAGACATCTCCCTACACACTGGGCAGACCCCTCCATGAGAGCCCTCTGTTGTCACGAAATGGTAGGATCATGGGCGATTAACCAGGGAAGCCCCAGCACCACGGGATACGCAGGAGAGTCGATTAGATATAACTGAATGGTCTCCTCATGACCCCCCTGCGTATTCATCTTAAGTGGTGCTGTGACTTCTCTAATCAACCCCGATCCCAGCGGCCGGCTATCTAGGGCATGGACAGGGAAGGGAGCATCAACAGGCAGGAGGGGAATCCCTAATCTTAAACAAAAATGTACGATCAACAAAATTCCCAGCTGCGCCTGAATCGACTAGCGCCTTATGCTGGGAATTAGGTGCCACCTGTGGAAATCTTACAGGTATACACATGTGAACAACAGAGAGCTCTGGGTAAGTGGGGCGCCTACTCACCTGAAATGACTCCCCAGTGCGTGACCTGTTGTTCCCTCTCCCTGGAGACCCTCCCCAGCACCTAGCCGCAGTGTGCCCTCCACGGCCACAGTTGGTGCAGGGGACGGCCCCCCTCGGGTTCTCTCTCCTCCTCTCTCTAGCGCCAGCACCCCCGAGCTCCATAGGGATCGGCTCGGAGGTGCTGGAGGATGGAATGGACGACCCCCATTCGGGACGTCCGCGGGTAGCCAGCAGGGTATCGAGACGGATGGACATGTCCACCAACTGGTCGAAAGATAGGTTGGTGTCCCTGCAGGCCAGCTCACGACGAACGTCCTCACTAAGACTGCATCGATAGTGGTCGATGAGGGCCCTCTCATTCCACCCTGCATCCGCCGCTAGAGTCCGGAACTCCAGGGCGAACTCTTGTGCGCTCCTCTTCCCCTGTCGGAGGTGGAACAG